GGAGTAACAAAAATCTCGACAACAGACTACTTTCCATAATGACAAGGCTACCATCCATTGGAGTAACAAGAATCTCGAAAACAGACTACCTTCCATAATGACTAGGCTACCATCCATTGGAATAAAAGAAATATCAACAACATACTACCTTCCATAATGACAAGGCTACTATCCAATGGAGTAACAAAATTCTCGACAACAGACTACCTTCCATAATGACAAGGCTACCATCCATTGGAGTAACAGAAATCTCCACAACAGACTACCTTCCATAATGACAAGGCTACCATCTATTGGAGTAATAGAAATCTCCACAACAAACTACCTTCCATAATGACAAGGCTACCATCCATTTTAGTAACAAAAATCTCGACAACAAACTACCTTCCGCAATAAGAAGGCTACCATCCATTGGAGTAACAAAAATCTCGACAAAAGAATATCTTCCATAATGACGAGGCTACAATCCATTGGAGTAACAAAAATCTCTACAACATAGTACCTTCCATAATGACAAGGCTACCATCCATTAGAGTAACACAAATCTCCACAATAGACTACCTTCCATAATGATAAGGCTACTATCTAATGGAGTAACAAACATCTCGACAACAGACTACCTTCCATAATGACAAGGCTAACATACATTGTAGTAACAAAAATCTTAACAACAGACTACCTTCCATAATGCCAAGGCTACCATCCATTGGAGTAACAAGAATTACAATGACTGACTACCTTCCATATTGACAAGTCTACCATCCATTGGAGTAACAAAGATATCGATAACATACTACCTTCCATAATGACAAGGCTACCATCCATTGGAGTAACAAAAATCACGACAACAAACTACCTTCCATAATTACAAGTCTACCATCCATTTGAATAACAGAAATCTCCACAACATACTACCTTCCATAATGACAAGGCTATTATCCAATGGAGTAACAAAAATCTCGATAATAGACTACGTTCCATAATGACAAGGCTAACATACATTATAGTAACAAAAATCTAAACAACAGACTACCTTCCATAATGACAAGGCTATCATTCATTGGAGTAACAAAAATCACAACGACAGACTACCTTCTATAATGACAAGGCTACCTTCCATTAAAGTAACAAAAATCTCGACAACAGACTACCTTCCATAATGACAAGGCTACCATCCATTGGAGTAACAAAAATCTCAAAAACAGACTTCCTTCCATAATGACTAGCCTACCATCTATCGGAATAATAAAAATGTCAACAAAAAACTATCTTCCATAATGACAAGGCTACCATCCATTGGAGTAAAAAAAATCTCGACAACAGACTACTTTACATAATGACAAGGCTACCATCCATTGGAGTAACAAAAATCTCGAAAACAGACTACCTTCCATAATGACTAGGCTACCATCCATTGGAATAAAAGAAATCTCAACAACATACTACCTTCCATAATGACAAGGCTACTATCCAATGGAGTAACAAAATTCTCGACAACAGACTACCTTCCATAATGACAAGGCTACCATCCATTGAAGTATCAAAATATATCGGCAACATTATACCTTCCATAATTACAAGGCTACCATCAATTGGAGTATCAAAAATCTCGACAACAGACTACCTTCCATAATGACAAGGCTAACATACATAGTAGTAACAAAAATTTGAACAAGAGACTACCTTCCATAATGACAAGGGTACCATCCATTGGAGTAATGAAAATCACAATGACAAACTACCTTCCATAATGACAAGGCTACCATCCATTGGAGTAACAAAAATCTCGAAAACAGACTACCTTCCATAATGACAAGGCTACCATCCATTGGAGTAACAAAAATCTTGACAATAGACTACCTTCCATAATGACAAGGTTACCATCCATTGGAGTAACAAAGATATCGACAACGTACTACCTTCAATAATGAAAAGGATACCATCCATTGGAGTAACAAAAATCACGACAACAAACTACCTTCCATAAAGAGAAGGGTACCATCCATTGGAGTAAAAAAAATCATGACAACAGACTACCTTCCATAATTACAAGGGTACCATCCATTGGAGTACCAAAAATCTTGACAATATACTACCTTCCAAAATGACAAGGCTACCATCTAATGGAGTAAGAAAAATCTTGACAAGAGATTACCTTCCATAATGACAAGGCTACCATCCATTGGAGTAACAAAAATATCGACAACAGACTACCTTCCATAATTACTAGGCTATCATCCATTGGAGTAACAAAGATATCAACAACAGACTATCTTGTATAATGACAAGGCTACAATCCATTGTAGTATCAAAATAATCTCGAAAATAGACTACCTTCCATAATGATACGGCTACAATCCATTGGAGTAACAAAAATCTCGACAACAGACTACCTTCCATAATGACAAGGCTACCATCCATTGGAGTAACAAAAATCACAACGACATGATACCTTGGATAATGACAAGGCTACCATCCATTGGAGTAACCAAAATCTCGAAAACAGACTACCTTCCATAATGAAAAGGCTACCATCCATTAGAGAAAAAAAATCTCGACAACATACTACCTTCCATAATTACAAGGCTACCATCAATTGGAGTAACAAAAATCTCGACAACAGACTACCTTCCATAATGACAAGGCTAACATACATTGTAGTAACAAAAATTTGAACAACAGACTACCTTCCATAATGACAAGGCTACCATCCATTGGAGTAAAAAAAATCACAACGACAGACTACCTTCCATAATGACAAGGCTACCATCCATTGAAGTAACAAAAATCTTGAAAACAGACTACCTTCCATAATGACAAGGCTACCAACCATTGGAGTAACAAAAATATCGAAAATAGACTACCTTCCATAATGACAAGGTTACCATCCATTGGAGCAACACAAATCACGACAACAGACTACCTTCCATATTGACAAGGGTACCATCCATTGGAGTAACAAAAATCTTGACAACATAATACCTTCCAAAGTGACAAGGCTACCATCTAATGGAGTAACAAAATTCTTGACAACAGATTACATTCCATAATGACAAGGCTACCATCCATTTGAGTAACAAAAATATCGACAACAGACTACCTTCCATAATGACTAGGCTACCATCCATTGGAGTAACTAAGATATCAACAACAAACTACCTTCCATAATGACAATGCTACAATCCATTGTAGTATCAAAATAATCTCGACAACAGACTACCTTCCATAACGACAAGGCTACAATCCATTGGAGTAACAAAAATCTCGACAACAGACTACGTTCCAAAATGACAAGGCTACCATTCATTGGAGTAACAGAAATCTCCACAACAGACTACCTTCGATAATGACAAGGCTACTATACAATGGAGTAACAAAAATATCGACAACAGACTACCTTCCATAATGACAAGGCTACCATCCATTGGAGTAACAAAAATATCGACAAAATAATACCTTCCATAATGACTATGCTACCATCCATTGGAGTAACAAAGATATCGACAACAGACTACCTTCCTTAATGACAAGGCTACAATCAATTGTAGTTTCAAAAAAATCTCGACAATAGACTAACTTCCATAATGACAAGGCTACCATCCATTGTAGTAACAAAAATTTCGACAACCGACTACCTTCCTTAATAAGAAGGCTACCATCCATTGGAGTAACAAAAATCTCGACAAAAGAATACCTTCCATAATGACAAGGCTATAATCCATTGGAGTAACAAAAATCTTGACAACAGACTACCTTCCATAATGACAAGGCTACCGTCCATTGGAGTAACAAAAATCTCGACAAAAAACTACCTTCCATAATGACAAGGCTACCATCTAATGGAATAACAAAAATCTTGACAACAGACTACCTTCCATAATGAAAAGGCTACCTTCCATTGGAGTAACAGAAATCTCAACGATAGACTACCTTCCATAATGACAAGGCTACCATCCATTGGAGTAACAAAAATCACAACGACAAACTACCTTCCATATAGACAAGGCTACCATCCATTGGAGTAACAAAAATCTCGACAATAGACTACCTTCCATAATGACAAGGCTACCATCCATTGGAGTAACAAAGATATCGGCAACATACTACCTTTCATAATGTCAAGGCTACCATCCAATGGAGTAACAAAAATCACGACAACAGACTACCTTCCATAATGACAAGGGTACTATCCTTTGGAGTAACAAAAATCTTGACAACACACTACCTTCCAAAATGACAAGGCTACCATCTAATGGAGTAACAAAAATCTCGACAATAGACTACCTTTCGTAATGACAAGGCTACCATACATTGGAGTAACAAAAATCTCGACAACAGACTACCTTCCATAATGACTAGGCTTCAATCCATTAGCGTAACAAAGATATCGATAACAGACTACCTTCCATAATGACAGGCTACAATCCATTGTAGTAACAAAAATCTCGACAAAAGACTACCTTCCATAATAAAAAGGCTACCATCCATTGGAGTAACAGAAATCTCCACAACAGACTACCTTCCATAATGACAAGGCTACTATCCAATGGAGTGACAAAAATCTTGACAACAGACTACCTTCCATAATTACAAGGCTAACATACATGGTAGTAACAAAAATCTGAACAACAAACTACCTTCCATAATGATAAGGCTACGATCCATTGGAGTAACAAAGATATCGACAACATACTACCTTCCATAATGACAAGGCTACCATCCATTGAAGTAACAAAAATCACGACAACTGACTACCTTCCATAATGACAAGGCTACCGTCCATTGGAGTAACAGAAATCTCCACAGTAGACTACCTTCCATAATGACAAGGATACTATCCAATGGAGTAATAAAAATCTCGACAACAGACTACCTTCTATAATGACAAGGCTAACATACATTATAAAGTAACAAAAATCCAAACAACAGACTACTTTCCATAATGACAAGGCTACTATCCAATGGAGTAAAAAAATCTCGACAACAGACTACCTTCCATAATGGCAAGGCTAACATACAAGGTAGTAACAAAAATCTGAACAACAGACTACCTTCCATAATGACAAGGCTACCATCCATTGGAGTAACAAAAATCACAATAACAGACTACCTTCCATATTGACAAGGCTACCATCCATTGGAGTAACAAAGATATCGACAATATACTACCTTCCATAATGACGAGGCTACCATCCATTGGAGTAACAAAAATCATGACAACAGACTACCTTCCATAATGACAAGGCTATCATCCATTGGAGTAACAGAAATCTCCACAACAGACTACCTTCTGTAATACCCCAAATTTGTCCTACCCTTTTACTTTTATCTGGCTTACGCATTTTTGCATTTTTCTCACATTATGTCATCTAACACATCATGCATCATTAATTGATAAATTGGCATAAAATCATGGATTTCGAGGAATAAAGAGTGTGTTGGATAAAAATGGAGCAGTAAGGAAGAAAGTGAAAGAGATGAGCGAAAAGAGTAAGAAGACTTTGTTAGAGGGTGGATCTTCCTACTCTTATTTAAGTAATTTAATTGATTATATTATGAACCAGGTGTGAAATTATATTATCTTAATACCAATATCCAAAAGTTCGGTTGCTATTGGGTTACTTATCAGCATTAATAATTGTAATAAGGATTAATCACTTTCACTAATATACTTTGGTTAACAGGCTTACAAAACTCTTGACTAACAGCCATAATGATCATTTAATTGTCGTCTCATGCATCTCTAATTTATCATGATTGTTACTTATGAGCTATGAATGAAATGACATCAGGTTCACATCACGCTTTTTGCTTAATACTGTTGCGAGGCCGGAGGAGTTCAACCAAGCTTGCAAACCATCAATGTCCTGGCCAGTTGAATTTTTCATAAAATAAGTCCCTCTTGTTCCTTCCAAGGATCTAATAGGAATTTAGCCAATGCTTGTTGGATGAAAACCAAGTCATTCATGATTAACGGGTATTTCTGCGACATCACAACCGAGAAAGGAGGTTGAATCTGATCTGCAACAGATTATTGCACTAGTTGATTTTTTTTTTCCATATCAGAACCCGGGACATTTTCTTCTACATACAAAGACTGCCTTACAATAGTGTCAGTTTCTACATCATCCAAACACTGCTTGACAATATGCTTTAGTATTACACAGTTAATATGCTTTTGCATTGTGTTTATCTAACTGATATAAATTGTATGTCATAAATCTAGAATCTAATGCAAATTATGTATGACTAGCAGCAAAATAAGATTTCAAAAGGACGTTTACATCCAAAATTACTAAATAAAAAAAAACAAGAATTTACATTAAATATTCAAGTAGCCTAAAGCTAAAGAATTCTAAATCAAGGTTTCCCTCATTTCTAAAGTTATTTATCTTCAAGCCACTATCTTCCAAGATTGCCCCATTCCATCCTGGTTACGTCCAAGCCCCGGTCCATGTTTCATACCAAAAGAAAACCTGCATAAACAACCATTTTTCAAGCCGCTTCAGTACCAATACGTAATCAAATTAATTTAATTTGAAATACAAAAATCAACAATCACACCAAGTATTATGTGCTTAAAACTAACTTTTTCCTAACTTCTAACTATAACTAACTTTCTATTTCCCAAATTGTAACCAACTTTCCTTTTTCCTACCTCTTAACCATTTTATAACAACCTCTCTAAGTCCTAACCAATTAACAGAATAACCAACTTTTTTCCCACTTCCTAACCACCTAACAGAATTTCTAACCTCTTAACCAACCATAACAAACTTCTAGCATATATAAATAGAGTTCACAGCATATGCAGAGGGGAGATCACAGACAGAATAGGGAAAGATTATTCACAGGGATACCATTATTCATAGAAAGTTAGAGAAGAACTGCAAAAAACTCACCTTTACAATCATTCTTCATCGGTTAGAAGAATCACCACAAAAAATATTGAAAAGAAACTTCTCAATCTTCTCTCTGCAGATCCGCGATTCAGAATTCACAAACTCACCAAAAAATATCATAACTCTCTCTGAACTCCTCTGCATATTTTGCAATCATCTTCAACAATCCACACCTTCAATCATCTTCTACTCTTAACAGTTTCATCAACCTGCAACAATCGCATCTTTTTCTCATAGCTTCACTCATTTTCTTGTTCTTCAACACGTATCATCGATACTCTCTCATCTTCAACCATTCATTGCAACCTTCTCCTACTTTTGCAAACCTCCACCCAACTACCCTCCACAGTCTAACTCTCCTTGGAAACCACCGACCAACATACCTCCATCGTCACATTCTCCGCCACAGCAGCCGCTAAACTTACCACCACAGCCACAATTATCAGTCCAAGATCCTTCAACTACAAGAAATAAGAAGAATTCTGATGAAGATGCAGACTTGAATAATATTGGTGACCTGAAGGCACATGGCCTCCAGGATCTAGGCATTACTGGAAATACAAGTTCATCTGCTCAGCAACCTAATCTGTGCGATGACACTTTGGAGACCAAGAAGTTAAGTCACACAAGATCAAATTCTACAAATGCTGATGGACTTGCACATTCGGATGAAAAGCTTGGTGCTGTGAGTTATTCTAGGAAGAATCAAAAGGGGTTTACCTTTCAAAGGGTATCAGACGAATATGAAGGAAGATGAAGAAATGATGACAGCCGCGGCGGATGGAATCAGAGCAACGCAAGGATCGGGCACCGTTGATGAAGGCGAAGAAGAGACGGAGCAACACAGGCGAGGAAGTGACGATGGTGAGCGGCTTCGGAGGAAGAAACGGAAGCGAGGTAGAGATGATGAACAGGGGGTCGGAAACTGATCGGAGCACCATTGACGGATGAAGAAGAAAATGCAAGGAAGGCCGGCGGCGGCGCTACCGTTTTGCACACGGAGAAGAAGAGACTTTCTTCCTAAAAACCCTATTCCCTTTCCAATCTTCATGCTTTTCTTTTTCTTTTTAATTTTAACTGTTTTATTATTTTATTTTTTTATTTCAAACAAATAATAATAATAATTAAGTAAATAATAAAGAAAATGTTGAAAATCTTTTTGGGCAAATTACTTCAACACCCTTATTCCAATTTTTACCCCCTAACTCTTCTAATTTTTTCTTTTCTTTTATTTCATTTAGTTTGTTCTTTTAGTCTAATTTTTTTTTCCTCTCAATTGACAATAAAAATAATAGAATATTTTTAGAATAGAATTTCTTTTTAGAATTTCGATTAGAATTTTTCTATTTTATTTTTCATATTCGATAATCATTTTATTGACTTTTTAGTCAAGATTTATGTGATAGCATTGATATAACTCTTGCAATGTGGAATACTCGGGGTTAATTCTTCAATTACTTGCCCAAGGGAACTTTGATAGAATTTTCTTACCGTTTGCACAATTTTGAAGAGGCAACGGACCTTCTCCGTTCGGTATCGTCGCAAATCTATTTTATTCTTCATTTTCGCACTTTATCGCGAACTCATGCATACTAATATCAGGTAGAAATTTCCCCTTTAACCTAAATCTTATGGCTACTAACGCACAATAACATTAGGTTTAGAAATAGGCTAATTCCCCCTTAACTTTTCTTTCCCTTTTGCATTCGCACCTAAAACTAAAACTTTCTCTTTCTTTCTAAATTTAAAACACTTTAAAACTATTGATGAGAATCATGCTTTTGCTTAGTACGGGAAATGATAAGCGAGTCTCTTCTCGATCTTATTGTTCTTCATCTCAAGCATAGGTGTGGTTCAATTCTCAAAGACTCTTTTCATAACTAAGTAGAAAAATGGCTAATATCTCTCTCTTGAGGTCAATCAGTCATCATCTACAACAAAAAATACAAAACAAATTCAAATCTTTTGTGCGCTCGAGCACTTTTCTTAAAAAAACCTTTTCAGGTAAGGACACGATTAATTTACTTCTGTGCCAACGCATAAGTCTCCAAAGGTTGAGCTGCGGCAGAAGGCGGAATTAACTTCGTCCATAAAAAACGCAAACAAACAAAAAATGTGAGCCGAACTATGGTAGCTCTGATTCCTTAAAAAGGATACGTAGGCATTGGGGTAGGGCCCAGGCGAGCACAATTTTATTTTCCCTACATTCTTTTCTCCTTTTCTTTTGCATGCATTCCTCCAGTAGTATAGTAAACAGTAAGCATAGATTAAACACACCCATAAGATAGATAACAAGAGTGGATACCATAGAGTACTACGGGCGTGTGGGGTGCTAATACCTTCCCCTCGCGTAACAGTCTCCCTTACCCGATCTCTCGGTCGCAAGACCGTGACTGCTCCCTTCTCAGGTTTTCTCGATGTTTACCTTTCCCTACATGTGGGATAAAAGACGTTCGATGGCGACTTCATTGTTTTGATGATTTTCAGCCGGTTGTTTCACCTTCCATAATGACAAGGCTACCATCCATTGGAGTAACAAAAATTACAACGACAGACTACCTTCCATAATGACAAGGCTACCATCCATTAAAGTAACAAAAATCTCGACAACAGACTACCTTCCATAATGACAAGGCTAACATCCATTGGAGTAACAAAAATCACAATGACAGACTACCTTCCATATTGACAAGGCTACCATCCATTGGAGTAACAAAGATATCGACAACATACTACCTTCCATAATGACAAGGCTACCATCCATTGGAGTAACAAAAATCATGACAACAGACTACCTTCCATAATGACAAGGCTACCATCCATTGGAGTAACAAAAATCTCCACAACAGACTACCTTCCAAAACGACAAGGCTACCATCCATTGGAGTAACAAAGATATCGACAACATACTACCTACCATAATGACAAGGCTACCATCCATTGGAGTAATAGAAATCTCCACAACAGACTACCTTCCATAATGACAAGGCTACTATCATATGGAGTAACAAAAATATCGACAACAGACTACCTTCCATAATGACAAGGCTACCATCCATTGGAGTAACAAAAATCACAATGACAGACTACCTTCCATATAGACAAGGCTACCATCCATGGGAGTAACAAAGATATCGAAAACATACTACCTTCCATAATGACAATGCTACCATCCATTGGAGTAACAAAAATCACGACAACAGACTACCTTCCATAATGACAAGGCTACTATCCATTGGAGTAACAATGATCTCAAAGATAGACTACCTTCCATAATGACAAGGCTACCATCCATTGGAGTAACAAAAAATCACAACGACAAACTACCTTCCATAAAGACAAGGCTACCATCCATTGGGGTAACAAAAATCTCGACAATAGACTACCTTCCATAATGACAAGGCTACCATCCATTGGAGTAACAAAAATATCGACAACATACTACCTTCCATAATGACAACGCTACCATCCATTGGAGTAACAAAAATCACGACAACAGACTACCTTCCGTAATGACAAGGCTACCATCCATTGGAGTAACAATGATCTCAACGATAGACTACCTTCCATAATGACAAGGCTACCATCCATTGGAGTAACAAAGATATCGACAACATACTACCTTTCATAATGACAAGGCTACCATCCAATGGAGTAACAAAAATCACGACAACAGACTACCTTCCATAATGACTAGGCTTCCATCCATTGGCGTAACAAAGATATCGATAAAAGACTACCTTCCATAATGACAGGCTACAATCCATTGTAGTAACAAAAATCTCGACAAAAGACTACCTTCCATAATAAGAAGGCTACCATCCATTGGAGTAACAAAAATCTCGACAAAAGAGTACCTTCCGTAATGACAAGGCTACAATCCATTGGAGTAACAAAAATCTCGAGAACGGACTACCTTCCATAATAAGAAGGCTACCATCCATTGGAGTAACAAAAATCTCGACAAAAGAATACCTTCCATAATGACAAGGCTACCATCCATTGGAGTAACAGAAATCTCCACAACAGACTACCTTCCATAATGACAAGGCTACTATCCAATGGAGTGACAAAAATCTCGACAACAGACTACCTTCCATAATTACAAGGCTAACATACATGGTAGTAACAAAAATCTGAACAACAGACTACCTTCCATAATGACAAGGCTACCATCCATTGGAGTAACAAAGATATCGACAACATACTACCTTCCATAATGACAAGGCTACCATCCATTGGAGTAACAAAAATCTCGAGAACGGACTACCTTCCATAATAACAAGGCTACCATCCATTGGAGTAACAGAAATCTCCACAACAGACTACCTTCCATAATGACAAGGCTACTATCCAATGGAGTGACAAAAATCTCGACAACAGACTACCTTCCATAATTACAAGGCTAACATACATGGTAGTAACAAAAATCTGAACAACAGACTACCTTCCATAATGACAAGGCTACCATCCATTGGAGTAACAAAGATATCGACAACATACTACCTTCCATAATGACAAGGCTACCATCCATTGAAGTAACAAAAATCACGACAACTGACTACCTTCCATAATGACAAGGCTACCATCCATTGGAGTAATAGAAATCTCCACAATAGACTACCTTCCATAATGACAAGGATACTATCCAATGGAGTAACAAAAATCTCGACAACAGACTACCTTCTATAATGACAAGGCTAACATACATTATAAAGTAACAAAAATCCAAACAACATACTACTTTCCATAATGACAAGGCTACTATCCAATGGAGTAAAAAATTCTCGACAACAGACTACCTTCCATAATGGCAAGGCTAACATACAAGGTAGTAACAAAAATCTGAACAACAGACTGCCTTCCATAATGACAAGGCTACCATCCATTGGAGTAACAAAAATCACAATAACAGACTACCTTCCATATTGACAAGGCTACCATCCATTGGAGTAACAAAGATATCGACAACATACTACCTTTCATAATGACGAGGCTACCATCCATTGGAGTAACAAAAATCATGACAACAGACTTCCCTCCATAATGACAAGGCTATCATCCATTGGAGTAACAGAAATCTCCACAACAGACTACCTTCCATAATGACAAGGCTACCATTCATTGGAGTAACAAAAATTACAACGACAGACAACCTTCCATAATGATAAGGCTACCATCCATTAAAGTAACAAAAATCTCGACAACAGACTACCTTCCATAATGACAAGGCTAACATCCATTGGAGTAACAAAAATCACAATGACAGACTACCTTCCATAATGACAAGGCTACCATCCATTGGAGTAACAAAGATATCGACAACATACTACCTACCATAATGACAAGGCTACCATCCATTGGAGTAACATAAATCTCCACAACAGACTACCTTCCATAATGACAAGGCTACTATCATATGGAGTAACAAAAATATCGACAACAGACTACCTTCCATAATGACAAGGCTACCATCCATTGGAGTAACAAAAATCACAATGACAGACTACCTTCCATATAGACAAGGTTACCATCCATGGGAGTAACAAAGATATCGACAACATACTACCTTCCATAATGAAAACGCTACCATCCATTGGAGTAACAAAAATCACGACAACAGACTACCTTCCGTAATGACAAGGCTACCATCCATTGGAGTAACAATGATCTCAACGATAGACTACCTTCCATAATGACAAGGCTACCATCCATTGGAGTAACAAAAATCACAACGACAAACTACCTTCCATAAAGACAAGGCTACCATCCATTGGAGTAACAAAAATCTCGACAATAGACTACCTTCCATAATGACAAGGCTACCATCCATTGGAGTAACAAAGATATCGACAACATACTACCTTTCATAATGACAAGGCTACCATCCAATGGAGTAACAAAAATCACGACAACAGACTACCTTCCA